GCATTGTATTAGCACTAATCACTGTATTGGTGTCATTGGAGATGTCAGTGACACCAAGTCAGAATGCCCGCCAAAGTCCCGCTATAAGACGCTGATTGACGCCATTACTAGTAACAATATAAAAAAATTTAAATTTGATTTTTTAAATTTTTTACTGGACATGTTTAATAGCAAAAAGTCAAAAATATAGTTTTTTTTTCACAAAATTGTCGGTCTTTTTTTGTTTATAATAAAAAATAAATAAAAACAAAAAATAAAAAACGCACAGGCAATCACATACCACTGAAAGAAAGCTCTATTCGTGGGGGGAAAAAGGACGTAAATTTCATTTGGGTGCAGCATTGCATGATCGCGAAATTGTCAGTTAAAGTAACGCAGCGCTGTATCGCGAAAAATGGCCTGGTCAGGAAGGGGGGTAAATCCTCTGGAGGGCAAGTGGTTAAGATAACAAAGTAATACATATGTTGTTTATTTTAAGAACAAACAAGATTGTCTTTTGATGAAGTTGTGTTGTTAGTTAATTTTAAAGGCAATCTATAGATACCTTTTTTCTATATTTACCAGTGTCAGTGTTTAAACAACTATTCGTGTTACTAAAGATAAAAACTATACAATTTACTCTATAATTCATCTTGTCTATTATGACACTAAAATTACCATTGTGTTAAAAAGCATTACAAATACAACAGGCCACCAGACTTTAGGATCTGATTTCTATTAAGACATATTTCCTCTTTTGCAGTCATACTTGAAAAAACCCCCATTATACACTGCTCATAAAAATTAAAGGAGCACTTCTTAATCAGAGTATAGCAACAAGTCAGTTAGACTCCTGGGATATTGATCTGCTCATCTAAGTAGCAGAGTGGGTTGTTGATCAGTTTTAGCTGCTTTGGGTTAATGAAATTAACAACAGGTGCACTAGATGGGCAACAATGAGATGACTCCCAAAACAGGAATGGTTTTACAGGTGGAGGCCACTGACATTTTTTTCCTTACTCATCTTTTCTGACTTTTTTTCACTAGTTTTGCATTTGGCTAGGGTCAGTGACACTACTGGTAGCATGAGGCAATACCTGGACCCTACAGAGGTTGCACAGGCAGTCCAACTCCTCCAGGATGACCCATCAGTACGTGCCATTGCCAGAAGGTTTGCTGTGTCTCCCAGGACAGTCTCAAGAGCATGGAGGAGATTCCAGGAGACAGGCAGTTACTCTAGGAGAGCTGGACAGGGCTGTAGAAGGTCCTTAACCCATCAGAAGGACCAGTATCTGCTCCTTTGTGCAAGGAGGAACAGGATGAGCACTGCCAGAGCCCTACAAAATGACCTCCAGCAAGCCACTGGTGTGATGTCTCTGACCAATCAGTAACACACTTCATGAGGGTAGCCTGAGGGCCTGACGCCCTCTAGTGGGCCTTGTGCTCACTGCCCAGCACCATAGAACTCATTTGCCATTGAACACCAGAATTGGTAGGTCCACCATTGGCTCCCTGTGCTTTTCACAGATGAGAGCAGATTCACCCTGAGCACTTGTGACAGAAGTGTAAGGGTCTGGAGAAGCCATGGAGACCGTTCTCCTGCCTGTAACATCGTTCAGCATGACCATTTTAGTGGTGGGTCAGTGATGGTCTGGTGGAGGCGTATCCATGAAGGGACGCACAGACCTCTACAGGCTAGACAATTGCACCTTGACTGCTATTAGGTATCGGGATGAAATCCTTGGACCCATTGTCAGACCCTACGCTGGTGCAGTGGGTCCTGGGTTCCTCCTGGTGCACTGCAATGCCCAGCCTCATGTGGTGAGAGTATGCAGGCAGTTCATGGAGGATGAAGGAATTGATACCATTGAATGGGCCCATGCTCACCTGACCTAAATCCAATAGAACACCTCTGGGATATCATGTTTTGGTCCATCCAACGCCGCCAGGTTGCACCTCAGACTGTCCAGGAGCTCTGTGATGCCCTGGTCCAGATCTGGGAGGAAATACCTCAGGACACCATCTGCAATCTCCTTAGGGGCATGCTCCGACGTTGTCAGGCATGCATACAAGCACATAGGGGCCATACAAACTAATGAGTACAATTTTGAGTTGCTGCAATGAAATTGCAGCAAAATGGACTAGCCTGCTGCATCATTTTTTCACTTTGATTTTTGGGGTGTCTTTGAATTCAGTCCTCTATGGGTTGATAATTTTCATTTCCATCAAACGATGGGGCATCCTTACATTCCTAACACATTACCCAGCCCATATAAGTATACTGTAGATATCCAGCATGATATTTTTCCCCATTGAGATCTGATGTGCTTTCAAAGTGTTCCTTTAATTTTATTGAGCAGTGTATATGTTTGTTTTATGTTCCCATTCACACAACATGCCTAAATTAAAAAAAAATTTAATATTTCTTACCTTTTAAAAGTTAAAAGGAAGAGTTGTCATGGCAGACCACAAGATTTTTTCAAAAGATGTTACAGTGAATCTGTTTAAGCCTGCCCTCATTAGCATACCATGCAGGAGGGCAGTTTCTATATTCTTAACTCTTTGTTAGGACCCATAGTATTCAATTCTAGTTACAACTGATAATGAAGATCTGCCTGCACAGTACAGACAGGGTTAATTATGACAAATGCAGCTGCCCAGCCACAAAAACAAAGAGAACTACCTAATGTTATACCTTTGCTGGACGGCTTAGAAAAAAGCATCTTAAAAAAGGTACGATGCAATTTTAGTTATGCTATGCGAATGGAAATATGTAACAAACATAAAATAGGTGTTATCCCAATTTGGCCGCAAAAGTGGAAATACACTTTAACTGCTTCCGCGCCACCCTATAGCAGAAAGACTGCTACAGGGCGGCACATGCGTGTAAAATCCCATATATATACGCGATTTTTCAGTCCCGGGTAAGAGTTGCAGAATGCCTGCCACAGTCCCACTATAATTCGCTGATCGCCACTATTACTAGTAAGAAAAAAAAAATTCCAGTTTATATACCGCCATTTGTAATGGTATATCTTTCACGTAAACCAATTAATTTACATGTATTGTGATTTTTTTTTTTAGCAAAGAAAAGTAGCAGAGTACATTTTGGCCTAAATTTATGGCGAAATTAGATTTTTTAAATTTTTTTACTGGACATGTTTAATAGCAAAAAAATCAAAAATATAGAGGTTTTTTTCAATATTTCGATCTTTTTTTGTTTATAGCGCAAAAAATAAAGAGGCGATTAAATACCACCAAAAGAAAGCTCTATTTGTGGGGAAAAAAAGGACGTAAATTTAATTTGGGTGCAGCGTTGCATGACCGTGCAATTATCAGTTAAAGTAATGCATGCACCATATCTCAAAAAATGGCCTGGTCAAGAAGAGGGGTGAATCCTCTGGAGGGCAAGCGGTTAAATTACTTACCAGCCAGTCTCAAGATATCAGTGAAGAGCCCATGAAGACACATGATGAAACATAGAAGCATGCCGGGGTATCCAGAGTAGGCCGCAGAGGAACAGCAGAGCAAACTGAACAGGACTTAGGAGGACAAGCTATCAGAGAATGCCAGACCAACAATGGCTACAAACTACTGCTAACTGCCCAACGATCAATCCTCCCAATGGATGACTGATGGTGTCTGGCTTGATGACGTCAGAGCAGATATGTTTCCAACACATGCCTCAACTGAGATCATTTCCATAACTCAATAATAAGTAGGCATCCCATTATTTTTTTTTAATGTCTACATGCATCTTTCAGTTTGTTTGCTAGCCTTTTTGAATATTTATTTTCTGTGCAATTAGGGAAACTGTAATATAGTTTCCAGCTCTTGATTTGCAATGCATATCTTCAATAACATTAAATTTCTACAAATCATTTTTAATACATTAAATTCACTTTAAAAAAAACAACTTGCATACAGTTAATCTTCAGGCAATAATCTGCATATCAAAATATTAGTAGCATCTTTTAATTGACCCCTGTAGGATATTTTGTGTAAATAATGAGCAGTTGCAGTAGGCACTGGGGATATATACAGACTGTTAGCTATCATTTTCTAAATTGCATAACACAGGGAGGCCTATCTATAAAAGGTTCGAATTTGAAATTTCGGAGTTTCATCAATTTTTTAAAGCACCCTTGACCATGTGTAATCTGGAGTCAGCCTCAGGAGGTTGCATTGGCTCATTAGCAAATCTTTTATCATGGATAAACTACATGATGTGTACAAATTGTATGGTGGTGTTACAGGTTATATCTGATAGAGTTGGGCAGCTATCAATGAATTATAGTAATCCTCAGCAATCAATTAGAATATTATATTATGTATTATATTATGTTTGCCTGTAGTTGAAAATGATTTCCGGGCATATTTGGTTAATAATGAGGAGCAGCAGAATATAAATTGCCATGTCAAATATGGCATTACTAAGGCTTAGAATATCTAGGGAACACATAGTATATAGATGTCTGTAAGTCTGCAGTTCAGTTCATCAGCTTTGAAAACTCATAGAATTTTTACATTTCGTACAGTTTGGCCACCTTCCCCCCCCCCCCCCCCCCCGTTCGCCGCTAAAGAAATGTTTAACCGCCTTCCGCCCGCCCTATAGTACAACGACGGGCGCAAGGTGGTTCTCTCGTTCTGATAGGACGTCATATGATGTCCTACCATTCTCACTGCGCATGCGCGGCTCAGGGAGCGAGCAGCGCGGCGATCGCTGGTGCGCTGTGTCCCTCGGACACAGCGGATCACGGAAAGAGTCGAAGATGTCGGCTTGGTCATGTGATCAGCTGTGTCCAATCACAGCTGATCACATGTAAACACGGAAATGCTGGTTATCGGCATTTCTCTCCTCTCGAGCTGTCACGCTGACAGCTCGAGAGGAGAGCCGGTAATCGGCTTTTCGTGGAGGGGACATGTACACTGATCATAAGGGCACTGATGATCAGTGTGGCCCCAGAAGTGCCACGTGCCAGTGCCCATCAGTGCCACGTGCCAGTGCCCATCAGTGCCACGTGCCAGTGCCCATCAGTGCCACATCAATGCCACATATCAGTGCATCAGTGCACATCAATGCCACATATCAGTGCATACCAGTGCACATCAATGCCACATATCAGTGGCCATCTGAGCTGCCTTTCAATGTCACCCATCAGTGCCAGTCAGTGCCACCTATCAATTCCAATCAGTGCCACCTATCAGTGCTGCCAATCAGTGCCACCTATCAGCGACAATCAGTGTCGCCTATCAGTGTGCATCAGTGCCAGTCAGTGCCGCCTATCAGTGCCAGTCAGTGCTGCCGATCAGTGCCGCCTATCAGTGCCAGTCAGTGCCGCCTATCAGTGCCAGTCAGTGCTGCCTATCAGTGCCGCCTATCAGTGCCAGTCAGTGCTGCCTATCAGTGCCGCCTATCAGTGCCATAAATCAGTGTCATGTATCAGTGCTTCTTTTCAGTGCCCATCAGTGATGCCTGTCAATGCCCATCAGTGCAGCCTACCAGTGCCTCCTCATCAATGCCCATCAGTGCCACCTATCAGTGTCCATCAGTGCAGCCTATCAGTGCCCATCACTGCAGCCTCATTAGCGCACATCAGTGAAGGAGAAAAATCACTTATTTACAAAATTGTATAACAAAAACTAAGAAAAACCTTTTTTTTTCAAAATTTTCTGTGGTTTTTGGTTTGTTTAAAAAAAAAAAAAAAAAATCCCAGAAGTGATTAAATACCACCAAAAGAAAGTTCTATCTGTCTCAAAAAAAGGATAAAAATGTCATATGGGTACAGTGTTGCATGACCGCGCAATTGTCATTCAAAGTGTGACAACGCTGAAAGCTGGAAATTGGCCTGGGCAGGAAGGGGGTATAAGTGCCCTGTAGGCTTGTGGTTACATAAAATGCTTTGCTTTCATTACATACATTATTTTAGTTCTAGTGATGTCATCACTGGATCTCTTTGTTTCACTATGCATTGCAAACAGATCATGGCTGGTGGCAGGGGCCTCTATTGTGCTGTACATAGCCTTCAAAAAAAACACCACATCACCCTGACTCAGTACTCCATTTCGAAAGCCCTCAGCCCCGATGCAGGTATTGAGCTGCTCTAGGTAATGCCCACATCTAATGCCAAGCCTCCATGACTGAAAGAACTGAAATCAACTGAAAGAGGTGAGCGAGAGACAGTAAGGCAGGAGATGAAAGTGATAGATGATGCTGGACATGCTCCAGGATTCCAGGAAATGAGGTGGGCTCTATATCACTTGCTTCAGCTTCTAATGCACACTGTGAGAAGCTCACAGTGTGCTGTGAAATCAGAGTAAGACATTTCGGTGCAGAAGAGAAGCCCGCACAACTGTGCAAAGCTGAAGGGAAAGCTGGAGTTCAGCCTTATATCAGTGAAGAATGTTTTATCTCTAATGAACCTTGGGCAATTGGAGAAAGTGCAGAGAAGGGCAACCAAACTGATAAGAGAGGTAGATATCAAATTACCCCTGTACAAATCATTAGTAACGCCTCATCTGGAATATGCAGTTCAGTTTTGGGCACCAATTCACAAAAAGAACATTTGGGAACTGGAGAAAGTACAGAAAAGGGCAACCAAACTGATAAGAGGCATGGAGGAGCTCAGCTATGAGGAAAGATTAGAGGAACTGAATTTATTCTCTCTTGAGAAGAGGAGATTAAGGGGGGATATGATCAACCTGTATAAATACATCAGTGGTTCATATAGTGAACACAGTGTAGAGCTATTCACCCTGAGGTCATCACAGAGGACAAGGGGGCACTCTTTATGTCTGGAGGAAAAGAAATGTAATCTCCAAAAACGGAAAGGTTTCTTCACAGTGAGAGCTGTGAAAATGTGGAATAGACCCCCTCAAGAGTTGGTTCTGGCCAGCTCAGTGGATTGCTTTACAAAAGGCCTGGATTGTTTCTTAGATACACAGAATATAACTGGATACTAACATTTATAGGTACAGTTGATCCAGGGAATATCCAATTGCCTCTTGGGGGATCAGGAAGGAGTTTTTTTCCCCTGCAGGAGGGAATTGGATCATGCTTTGCAGAGTTTTTTTGCCTTCCTCTGGATCAACTGTGGGTGTAGGATTATAACTTTATTGTTTGAAATGGATGGACTTTTGTCTTTTTTCAGCCAGACTATGTATGTAACTATGTAATGTAAAGCAGCATTCAGTATATTAAGACTCAGTTATAGTAACTGAAAATCTGAGCCCCATAGGGAGAGATCTCTCGAAATATATCTCAAATTGAACATTGTGTATACTCTACACATATAGATCTTGCCTTGCCAGAACACTGAGCATTCTGTAATCCCTAATTTTGTTAAAAGACAATTACAGGATATATATTGTTCTCAGGAATATATTGAAAAGGAAAATGGTTCTCTATTTCTTATTGCAAATTCAATGTTGCTATAGTAACATATACTGATTTGCAAAAAAAATGCATGTAGTATAGATCTCTCCACACTTATAGACTAAGATGTACATTACACTCAGGCAAATTGGATCAGAAGCCGATATTTTTGCCTTTCAAAGAAAAAATACTCTAATGATGAATTGCTGTTTTCAGAATTTACCAAAATGTTAGAGAATTTACATATAGCAGGGAAATGCTCTTACACAAACCCATATTGCAATTAATACACACATTTAACCACATTAGAGCATCGCGGTCTCGTAAGTGTTTTTTTCCAATTGAAAACTGTCAGTACCCCTTCATCAGGCATGTGGTCACATACCTGATGAAGGGGTCCTGCAAGGCTCCGAAACGTTGACCTTGCTGTAACGATGTGATCGCTGAATAAGGCTTTGGACTGGTGACATTCTCTTGCTTAAAAGCAGCAGAGTAGCTGCTTCAAACGTTTTAGAGGAGAGAGAGAGGTGCGCCAGACTAAGTGCAGTAAGATTAGAACAGTTTATTGCACACAAGATATTAAAAACTTACAAGACGTGGGTAGGTATCAGGCATCAAATATAAAGAGGTGGACGTCATCTGTGCTGCACATCACGAGCAGATGGCTGCAGTGCCAGGGTATTCAACGGCTGGCGCTCTAGGCGAGTCCCACAGGACGGAGCGAGGACGGCAGCGCAGTTACCGGGAGTCGCGGCGCAGAGAAGAACCATGCTCCAGGGCGGGCGCTGCTAGTCTCTCACATCAGCGTGGGTGATGGGGCCAGCATGAGGTGCATCCAGGATGGCCGCCGAGCGGAAGTGATGTCAAGATGTTGCTGGGAGTTGTCCAAGGGGGCGGTGACGCGTTTCAAGGCAACCAGCCGTTTCTTCTGAAGACTCCCGGTAACTGCGCCTGCCATCCTCGCTCCCTCCTGTGGGACTTGCTTAGAGCGCCAGCCGTTAAATACCCTCCTGTGGGAACCTTTTGACAACGCGTCAAGGGGGGCTACAACACATGGACATCTAAGCCACCGCTGGTGGCCAACACATTATTCTTGCGGTCAGTACCTTTACTTGTCTATTTTACTTCTACTTGGAAATAAAGCCTTTTTATGCAGTATCACGCTATGTGATGTCCCTTATTGCTCTCTTTTAGTACTAAGCTTAAGGAGGGACTCCATAAGTTACCAAGCTTAAGGAGGGACCCCAGATGAATCAAGCTTAAGGAGGGACCCCAGAAGTGAACCAGGGAATCCAGCCAGGATGGATGTCTAGCGAGAGTGCAGCCTAACCTGAGACCAAAGGACCCTGATGTACCTGATGAGAGAGGAATTTTCTTTTCATGCGTATATTGAACGCACTTCTGGTGAGTGCGTATTTCACTTATTTCCTGTTCACCTGTGGATTAACTATCACTCTTGGAAAAGGAGACACGACATAATTTGTATATCACACTCCTTGTGTGACTTTGGGACGTTTAATTAATCTTTAATATCACTTGTACACTTTCAGATATTGAATTGATATTGATATTGATATAGCATTACTGGCACTATTAGCGCTGCACCTTTTTCTCTACATACTATCTTGGAAGGTTATGTTGGTTACCTTTTTAGGTGTTCTAGCAGCTTACATTCAAAAACATTTTTACTACAGTGGGCGCTCGCTATACAAACCTATATTCAATAAAACTGTTATATTCTTACTGCACTTAGTCTGGCGCACATCTCTCTCTCCTCTATTTCTTCTACTACAGAGTCCGGTTTACTCTAGAGAGTGCAAGCCTTTTTTTGTTTTCACGACGGTGTCTACATTGCAGCTTTGTATATATATGTATGCACATATATATATATATATATATATATATATAGATATATATATATATACCATCTATTCCAACCCAGTACGGTCTATACCACAAGTCCTCTTCCCCCCTCCCCCCTTCTTCTTACCACTCAAGCTGCACTATTCATTTTGTACTTCCACTACTACTATATACAGTCATATGCCCCACCTCCTGTTTTATTTTCGTTTTAAAACGGAACTATTTTTATATCGCCTAAGACTTTCTGAGTGAACTCTATACCCACCACAACCTCTCTTGCGCCAATTACATCTTCGTTTTTTCAAACGTTTTACCACACATTTTTCTGTGTGAAAATATGTGTATATGTCAAGTTTTGGCATGCCATTATCAAAAATGGCACCACAAGCATGATTTCAACAATCACACAATTTAGCGCACATTAACATGCTACTATAGCGTGAAATCAGCCTAAAAGACAGGGAATATGTTAAAACTTCTGGCTTATGTTCTGTTCTCTAGTGTCACGGCACCATAGTGTTTTTGGTGTCATTTGGACATGTTGAATACAAATGATTGAAATAGCAGGAATAAAAATGAGAAGGTAAGTTCTCATAGCAGCCAATGACATGATATCTCTAGGCTTCTATGTGCTTGAAGAATTAAACCTTGCTGGCTGACATGGGAAACACATCCACTTTTCCCATTATCAGGATTTTAAAATGTATCCTGTTCTGTCCTCAATACACATTTCCCTGTGTGTAACACGACATGCAGCTAAACCCTCCTATTCTGCAATAAGCCAGACTGAAAGTAATCTTGAAGCTTTATTAACAAAATAGAATGGGTGAAACTATTGGGAAAAACAAATAAGAAATACATGCAATAATGTATGAAACATACAAACACAATGGAATGATTAGGCTGTATATGGTAATAAGTCCATGCTCACCAGTGATGCTGCCTGTAGGGGATGTAAGTTTAGTCCACGTGTGCTGCAGAGAAATATGTTTGGCTCTTTCCCTCAGTTCTTAAATCAGAGTTCCACCTGGAAAAAAAAAAGTCAGCAGCTACAAAAACTGTAGCTGCTGACTTTTAAAACACTTACCTGTCCCTCGGTCCAGCGGTGTCCTCACAACCGCTGGTTTCACAAGCCGTCTATTCTCCCTGGCACCAGCATCTTCAGTGTGGGCACCTGGCTGTGACAGTTTGTGGCTTCACAGCTGGGTGCCCACTGCACATACGCAAGAAGCACTGCGCTTTGTGAATGGCCCTGTAGTCTTCTGGGACCTGTCACGTGGAGGGAGGGTAGGAGGACAATTCCCCCCCCTGCTCCCCAAAGGTGCCAATCCTTAATAGGGAGTGGAGGATAAAGGTTTTATTATTATTATTATTATTATATACAGGACTTATATAGCGCCAACAGTTTGCTCAGCGCTTTACATTATGGAGGGAGACAGTACAGTAACAATACAGTTCAATACAAGA